TTTATAATGTATTTACAAATTAATTTAAAAAAAACAAACAAACGATGGCCAAAACCGGTTTGGCTCAGTGGATAGAGCGTCGACCTGCAGACTGAAAGGTCCCAGGTTTGATTCCGGTTAAGGGCATGTTCCTTGGTTGTGGGCACATCCCCCAGTCTGGGGTGTGCAAGAGGCAGCTGATTGATGATTCTCTCTCATGGATTTTTCTAACTCTCTATCCCTCTCTCTTCCTCTCTGTAAAAAATAAATAAAATATATTTTTTTAAAAACACCAATGATCCTAAATAAATGCCTTAGAGAGTTGAGTTCCATTTTGAGATAAGCAAACAGAGACCCTAAGAAATTTGGCCATAATCAGTTCCAAATTCTAAATGTCAATTGGCATATGCAATAAAAAGTATATGTCATTCTCTACATTATTTTAGAAAGACATTTTGTATTTACCAAACTTATTTTCTAGAAGACTCAGTCCTAATGTTCCCATATCTGCTCTTCCATGCAATTTCATCAAGGTTTTTAGTACCATTGTCCTCAAGCCCAAATGCAAACATGCTGCCTGTATTTAGGCCATCTGAGAAGAAACCTGTTTTGCTGTTGTGTAGTGGCTAATTTTGCTCATCATTTTATGAAATATTTTAAAATGCATCGTCATTCTTTGAGGCCTAATATCAAGGAGATTTTTTAAAATTAAAAAGTCTCATAACAAAACTGAAGATAAGTGAGAGCAAAATCTAGACCTAATTCAAATGTGTTGAACTCTTGATTTTGTTCCTAACACTTGACCCATGGAAGCAGAGAATGGCTTCACCAACCCCTCTGGTTGCTTAGCCTATAAAACTAGGAATCCTCTTACCTTTCTCTCTTTATCCTGTACCTCCACTTTTAAACCATTGGAAAATTCCTGTTGGTTTTTATCGAAACATACACCAAGAATCTGTCCAATTCTTACCACATATAGTTCCCATGCTGATCCATGTCCCCCATCATCTCTCTCATGGATTGGTTCAATAGCCTCCTTACTGGCCTCCCTGTTTTTCTTCTTGTCCTTTAGAGTCTATTCCCACAACAGTAGCACAAGGGATCCATTCAATAGGCAATTTGATCATGTTTTTCTCTGCATAAAATACTGAGTCGACTTTTAGTTTTCTCCAGAATGAAGCCAACGTTCTGAGAATGGTGTGCAAATCCCCCATGGCCCAGTACCTGGTACCTCTCTGACTTCATCTCTAATTACTCTACCCCTTGTTTTCCCCACTCTAGATTGGTTGGCCTCTTTGCTGTACATTGAGCATATGATCTGTTCTTACCTGAGGACCTTTGCACTGGCCACTCCCCATATTGTAGTATATTTAATGTTACCAACCCCATCTCTATCAAGGCCACTTTCTTAATAGTTCTAATCATCCTATTTAAAATTGCAACCCACCTCACTCTTTTCACTCCCAATCTTCCCTATCCTTTTTTTTTTTTTAAATATGTTTTATTGTTTTTTTACAGAGAAGAAGGGAGAGGGATAGAGAGTTAGAAACATCAATGAGAGAGAAACATCGACCAGCTGCCTCCTGCACACTTCCCGCTGGGGATGTGCCCACAACCAAGGCACATGCCCTTGACCGGAATTGAATCTGGGAACTTTCAGTCTGGAGGCTGACTCTCTATCCACTGAGCCAAACCAATTAGGGCTTCCCTATTCTTTTTTATTTTTTTCTATAGTATATATGATCTAATAATGTACAATTTCTATTTATTTTTATTGTCCATCATACCTCTTTAGATTGTATGCTTAGATCTTTGTTTTGTAAACTGATGTACTACATTTGTCTGAAACATTGTCTAGTACATAATGGGTACTCAAACCATGTATTTTTTAAATAAATGAAAACTCTGAGGCCAATCCATTTATCAACATATCAGTACATCCTGACTTTCTAAATTTATATTTGGCAATTCAGTTTCATATTGGTCTGAAATTTTATATTATATACTACGATTGGATTCATTTATCTAATTTAAACAAAACATATTAAGCAATATGAAGTACTGCAAGTATAATAAAAAGCCTTTAGATATATGATACTTAGGTCTTATAATTGCATAAATCTTTAGCACTCTGGATTCATTGGGGAAATTTAAAATGTCGGGTAGCTTATGGTTTGTTCTGTATATGGTATTAGGTGCAAACAAATTTACTAAATATACTCTGTACTGTAATTTTGCTTCTGTTGAGAGGCAAATCAGAAATAATCATGACAGTCAATGAGTAAAAGAAGGATAAACTTTGAGAAGTACACCACAGCCCAGCTGGTGTGGCTCACTGGTTGAGTGTTGACCTATGAACAAAGAGGTCACAGATTTCAAATCAGGGCACATGCCAGCTTTGTGAACTTGCTCCCCAGTGGAGGTGTGCAGGAGGCAGCCAATCAATGATACCCTTTCATCATTGATGTTTCTATTTCTCTCTCCCTCTCCCTTCCTCTATGAAATAAATAAAAATATAGTTAAAAGTATAAAAGTACACCAGCAAATTACTAAAATCTTTTAGAATGTAAGTTGTTGTTGTGGTGGTGTGTTTTTTTTTGTTTGTTTGTTTGGGTTTTTTTTTGAGAGGCTACTTTATGTTTTGGGAGTAATTTCTACAGCCTTAAGTATTCAGTTTGGCTTAGAATTGCATTATTTTATTTTGGATATCTCTCTACTAGCCTCATGATGGTCTTCTTACCTTGACCCAGGACAGACCTTGCAGTGATGCCAGCTTACAGACTACTGCCAAGATTAGAGTCACACAAAGTGCCTGAAATCTGGTCTGCTCCAAGAATGGCTACTGATCACACTAAGGAAAAGACCAACATAAATACCAATTATGAGATCTAAAGAGTGAATGTGAAGTCCGAACTATGGCATAAGACAATATCAGAAGCCAAGGCATCAGAAAAAAAATGAGAACTAAGGGCAAGGTGTGCAGCACAGCAGAGAATGTCATGTACCGTAAATAATCCATGATTTCTCCCAGAAAAAGCCAAGTGAGAGAATTACATTCTCAGTAGGCTCCTCTGTGCTTCTGTCACCAGGGAATGAGAAAAGAATAAGGAGCACAGAGTGGATGGGGCCTCCAGTCATCCTAGAGGGCCCTGTGCAACTATTAGGCGAAACAGACATGTTGATGACTACTGCCCACGGAGAAGCAAGGGAAGTGGGAAGACAAGCTGAGGCTTCAAACAACAGAGACCCAAGAGAGGAATTATAAACGTGATTCCCTTTCGTCTTCCTTAATACAGGAGATACAAATTGTCAATACCCAGTGGGGATGTCAGATGATAAAAGTTGTGATATGCCCAAGGTAATATTCAAAAGTACATTTACTATTTTCATGAAATCTAATGGTTTAACTATAAAGACACAAGATATCTACATGAAAAGTGGAGATCATTTGTTGACCATCTACATGTTTCCACTTCCCAGTTTCTCTGACTTTTCACCCACATTCCTTAAAAAAAAAACTTTCTCCAAAATGGTATCCAATCACAACTGGCTGAGGAACTCTGCAGGGACCAATCCCATGTACACAAAACCAGCACTACACACCAGTTTATCCTACATCAGATGTACTTGTAACCTCCCATAAAAATGTTTTATTCATTAATTATGTACTGATCATTTATAATGTGTCAAGTGCTGTTCTAGGTATCAAAGAAGGCAAGACTGAGTGAATTTCAGAAATCCATTTGAACAATATAAAAGTATTCATTAAAGTAATTTTTTGTGAGTTAATGACAGCTGGTATAGTCAATATGTAACACTAAACAAGAGGCAATATCAGTTCATATTCAAATAAAGTTGATGTTCAAATAATAGCTTATGTAGGTTTATTACATGCCATGTGTTATTCTAGGTACTTTCAAGATATTAAGATGACTTAAATCGCAGCCCTCTATGAAATGGATTTTTGTTATCACACCCATTTTGTAGAAGAGTAAACTGAGGCATAGAGAAGATAAGTAACCTACTCAAGGTTAGATAGCTGGTAAACTTTAGACAAGATTTGAATTGAGGTGCAAAAATCCATGAAATTGCCCCTCCTTAAATTTTATAATACTTCTTTAAAAGACTCATACCAAAAATGTTTATAAAAAATCTATTCTAGGAAAGTGTTTGTTTGTTTGTTTGTTTGTTTGTTTTTTAACCACTGCTGCCTTGCCCCAATGCCTCAATCAGGCTAATTTTCATTTTAGTCATTTTAAAAATGAAGATAACCATGTTGTTGAACCAAGATCATCTAGTTAGATGTTCAAGCATAACAGAGGCGTCCTTCCGCATCTCAGTTCTGCCAAGTACTTGCTCTATGACCTTGAGCAAGTTATCTCTTCAAGTCTCAGTTTCCTCACCTTTAAAATGAAGGTTATAATGGGACCCACATCATAATACTCTGTAAAGATAAAACAGGAGAGCCCACTCAACGCACTTAGAAAGCGCTCAAATATTATTAGCATAATAAATAGCAGCAGCATGGATAAAGGGAACCTAATGATTTCTTGATCCTTCTATTCACACTAAAAATAGTTTACTTCTCTTCTAATTAAAAAAAAAAAAAGGTAAAAAAAAAAGAAAAGAAAAAAAAAACCCACAAACCAAGCCACAAGCCATTAAACCTCTGATATATTTTGTGGGAACACCAGAAAGGCATTTCTGTGTCACTAGTTAGCTACTCTCTTACAAAATGTACGAGCCCTAGCATCCTGAGACACCTTGCGTAATGTAATCCCTGTCACTCCTAGAGGTCAAGCGGGCAGACAGTTAAATGCTTCTCTGGGAAAAGCTCAGTAAATCATCGTCAGAACCTCCGTCCAAAGCCCACGTTGAGGTTAAGAAAAATCGACGTCCGGGCTGTGAACTTATTGCCAAGCTCCCAGAAAAACTCGGGCGGCACATGTTCAGCGATTAAGTAGAGGCAGACAACCAAAAGACACTGCCAGATTGTAAAACAAGGCTCGGGGAATCACAGAAAAAAACGCCGCTCGTTATTGATCACGGTGACCATTCAGTTCTCACCGAGCCACCCAAAAACAATCATTCATTCTCCAGCCCGGAGAGCCTGCTCATTTGCAAGATAAAAGAGAGACATTTCTGCACATGCCCATAATGTTCTTCGCCACTGGGGGCAGCTTTACATAAGACCTGCATTCAGGGGAACCAAAGCAACAGTCGGAGCAGCTTTCAGAATGACAGTCTGCAGAAGTGAGCTGAGCGTGTGCGCGGTCCCCGGCTCTCCTGCCTTCCGGGCTCCGACGCAGCTCGGCGGCTGACCGGGGTGCTCGCCGCCAGCAATGCTGGGCTTTGGAATACAGAGGTGGCGGCTCAGGTAGCCTCACGTCGCCTGGAGGAATAATACATCATGCTTCCCGATAAGAAGAAATTGTAGAAGCCAGTGGTTTGGTTTTTGTTTTTTTGGTTTTTTTTTTTTTAATACCCCGGCTCCCCCCACCATCCCACCCCCCAAAAAGAAAAACCTGTAAAGATGCAAAAACGTAGTATCCATGAAGATCCTATTACCTAGGAAGATCTCGATGTGTTGCTGCAAATGCGGAGTTGGGATTTATTTGTTCTTGGAGTGTGCTGCGTGGCTGGCAAAGAAGAATGTTCCGAAATCGGTCCATCTCCCGAGGGGTCCGATTTTTCTTGCCGGGTGTCAGCGAGCCCTGACTCACCACAGAGCAACTGACAGGGGCTGTCACGCAAGTGGCCCCCTCAGCCAAAGCAAAGACCCGAGGACGACCTTTGAACAATACAAAGGATGGGTATGTTTTGTCATTTTTTCCCTTCTTTCCTTCCTTAAAAAAAAAAAGCAAAAAAACAAAAACAAAAAAAAAAAACAAGGAATCCTCTAGTCTGTGTATTACTTCTGCCTTAATTCTTTTAGAGATTACCTTGCTCTGCCCTAAGACTACACATTCACTTGCTTTAGTGAACACGTTTCTTGCTTAACTATTAAGGGGGAAAACAAACAAACAAACAAAAAAAAAAAAAAACCCTGAAGCAATTCTCTTTAAATGACAAGGAGAGGGTTATGTGATGTGAAATGTTGCTCTCTAGATGTAAATGTTTAAAAAGAGGAAAACACATGCCTGCTCTCTTGCTTGATTTGAAAAGACACGGATTCTCTGTTGGGGGGATAACTTTTCTAAGTTGTTTTTATTTTCAGGTTTCAATGTAATCAGGCTACTGAGCGGGTCCGCGGTAGCCCTGGTGATAGCACCCACTGTCTTACTGACGATGCTTTCTTCTGCCGAACGAGGCTGCCCCAAGGGCTGCAGGTGCGAAGGCAAAATGGTCTATTGTGAATCTCAGAAATTACAGGAGATCCCCTCGAGTATATCTGCTGGCTGCTTAGGCTTGTCCCTCCGCTACAACAGCCTCCAAAAACTCAAGTACAATCAGTTCAAAGGGCTCAACCAGCTCACCTGGCTGTACCTCGACCACAACCACATCAGCAATATTGACGAGAACGCTTTCAACGGGATACGCAGGCTCAAGGAGCTGATCCTGAGCTCCAACAGGATCTCCTACTTCCTCAACAACACCTTCAGGCCCGTGACCAATCTGCGGAACCTGGACCTGTCCTACAACCAGCTGCACGCCCTGGGGTCCGAGCAGTTCCGGGGCCTGAGGAAGCTGCTGAGTTTGCACCTGAGGTCCAACTCCCTGAGGACCATCCCCGTGAGGATATTCCAGGACTGCCGCAACCTGGAGCTGTTGGACCTGGGATACAACCGGATCCGGAGTTTGGCCAGGAACGTCTTTGCTGGCATGATCAGGCTCAAAGAACTTCACCTGGAGCACAATCAGTTTTCCAAGCTCAACCTGGCCCTCTTCCCGAGGCTGGTGAGCCTCCAGAACCTGTACCTGCAGTGGAATAAGATCAGTGTCATAGGGCAGACCATGTCCTGGACCTGGAGCTCCTTACAGAGGCTCGACTTGTCCGGCAACGAGATCGAGGCGTTCAGTGGACCCAGCGTCTTCCAGTGCGTCCCGAACCTGCAGCGCCTCAACCTGGATTCCAACAAGCTCACGTTTATTGGCCAAGAGATTTTGGATTCTTGGATATCCCTGAACGACATCAGCCTGGCCGGGAATATATGGGAATGCAGCAGAAACATCTGCTCCCTGGTGAACTGGCTGAAAAGTTTCAAGGGCCTGAGGGAGAACACCATCATCTGCGCCAGCCCCAAAGAGCTGCAGGGGGTCAACGTGATCGATGCCGTGAAGAACTACAGCATCTGTGGCAAGAGCACCACCGAGAGGTTCGACCTGGCCCGGGCGCTCCCCAAGCCCACGTTCAAGCCCAAGCTCCCGAGGCCGAAGCACGAGAGCAAGCCCCCCGTGCCCCCGACGGTGGGGGCCACGGAGCCCAGCCCGGAGGCCGAGGCGGACACGGAGCACATCTCCTTCCACAAGATCATCGCGGGCAGCGTGGCCCTGTTCCTGTCCGTGCTCGTCATCCTGCTGGTGATCTACGTGTCCTGGAAGCGGTACCCGGCCAGCATGAAGCAGCTGCAGCAGCGCTCCCTCATGCGCAGGCACCGGAAGAAGAAAAGGCAGTCCCTCAAGCAGATGAACCCCAGCACGCAGGAGTTTTATGTAGATTACAAGCCCACCAACACGGAGACCAGCGAGATGCTGCTGAACGGCACGGGACCCTGCACCTATAACAAATCGGGCTCCAGGGAGTGTGAGGTATGAACCCTTGCGGTAAAAGCGCTCTTAAAAAGCTGGGCAGTAAGTGGTGCTTCCTTGAACTCCGGTGACTATAAGAGGGAACGTGGTGCCCCCCCCTCCCCCTCCCAGTCCCTCTCTCTCCCTCTGCTGGCGAGGTCCCCCTCCCCCGCCCGCTTTAGTGCATTCATAACACTGGTCATTGGCCTCCCCTGCATAATGCACCCATTGAAACGTAAATCACCACAATCAACGTGCAACCTGAACTCTGGTTTAACATAACGCCTATGGTGTCAGACCCTTCCCTTATTGATTCCATAAGCGTCACACTGTTTTCAGATAAAACTTCTTTTTTTTTCCTTTTTTTTTTTTTTACCATGGGCCCCCCACATCTGCTGTCCTTCCGCTAGCACCAGATGCACAGTTTGCTGGCAAAGGCAGGGAGGAGGGAGTGACCCCAGGTCCTGGGACCTTGAGCTGACTCCAGGAGCATGCCCGGTGACAGGAACATTGAGAGGCAGAGCCTTGAAACAATGCCTGTCTCAGAGAGAACTGCAGGGAGCGATCCGAGGATGGTGCTGGGTAAAAGCAGCACCGCCCGCCCTGCCCTGTCAGAGGCATCTGAATTGTGATGAGGCAAGTCTAGGGAACAGTGCCGAGGGGTTAAAATGCTGCGGGGAGACAAGTGCCAGCTGTGAGGAGAGGGTACAAATATAAAGTTCCCGACTTGAGAGCTTGTCTCTGAAACCCATCCCTGTGAAATCAGACCAGGGGCTTCCCTATCCATTTCGGTCCAGCCTCCACATAAAAAAAAAAAAAAAAAAAAAAAAAAAGCCCATTGACTAACTAGCCAGGAAGCAAATTGGAGGAGGCAGATTCCCCCACCGTGCCTCTCATTAGGGACTTTTCAGACACCGGGCTTGCAAATGGGAAGGCAGCTTGCTGTAGGCATGGGGTTGGGAGCTTCCCAGAGTTTCTCTTTTCAGCTCTTGCAGGGGCCCTGATGGAGGGAGTGGGATCTTCAACGTCCTCTGTTCTCTGTGTGGGGTCTGTCAGGCTGTCCTGTTGTGTCCCATCATGTGTCCTGCACACACCAGTCCCCTCATGACAGACACTCATTCAGATGTGTCAAGAGAACACATTCCAAGACATGCTTTCCACCAAGAGCCTCATTAAAAAGGATGATTTGGGTAGCACCTTCCGAAATGTATAAAATAAACCTGAGAGGGAGGAGAGCAACCCTATGGCCCTCGTCTTTGCTCTTCTGTTGCTGGTGTTACGGTGTCCCTATGCGCATCTGTATTGTGAACCCATCCATCAGTGTGATTCTGTACCGGCCCTGTTGGCACTGTGCAAGCTGCATGCATGGTTTTATGTTGTAGGTGAAAGTTTATTGACTGCAGCTCAAATATCAGAGCTTCTGGATTTAAGTAACTTTGAGCACAGTTCATTAAGATTTGAGAAAAAAAATGCCTCTTCCATCCCCCAAAATGAACAATTCAATCGCAGTAGTAAAAATCAGGAATGGCAACATTAAGTCTGTTTCATTTCATTTGGCTTGCCAAACCATGTCCCTGTTCTTTCAAAACAGAATCGCTGCAGTAAGAAAAAAAAAAAAGAAAAAAAAGCAAAAGTGAATGGCTATTTTTTACCAGCATTTTTATAGAGTCTGGGGGCTTTTCATTTGCTGACAGGCAAAAATCTAGGCAAGTCACCATGAAATATAATTGCAAGGAAGCCGGATTACTTAAAAAAATCACACTTTTATAAGCAATAAAGAAAAAGGAACTTTGAAAGTGGACTTTGGTTTTAATTAAATTCTAAAAGAGGTGGCAGTTCAGAAAAGCATCATAGCTACAGTATATTTACCCACGAAGAATTGTTGACTATACATTCATTAATGGCAAATTGTCACAGATTCCCAATGGATTAATAATGCAAACACTACCTTACAGTCCTATGAACTGGATGACTGAGCCTACTGTGATGTTTTTCACTCAAGTTGTAAGTTTACATTTTTCATAAAATGTCAGTAAATACATATTCCATCTAAAAAAGAAATTTTCTTTGGTCAGACTCATTTTTATCTGTACTAAAGATGACTGTGCTAATTAAATGCAGTGTTAAAGTGAAAAAGCTCATTTCTATTCTTTGACTTGACCTTCTGCTGCCTCATTTGTCATGGAAACCAAATGAATTTAAGCAAGACATATTTATACTTATATTTACGAATTCTTGCAAGTTCTCAATGCCCCGGTGCCACTAATATATACAAAATACATTTGCTGCATTGGAAAGTGTTTCCAAAATTCAAAGCCACTTGGTGTGTAAGATGAAATGAATGGCCAGCATTTTAGGAGCTGGTCATTTTTTTCTTAATGTGTAACTTTAATTCTTTATGAATTTAGGAATGAATAAGAACCACAATAAAATCCTTTAGAGAGTAAAACTCATTTTGATTCAGAACAGGAAATTACAAATTCTTTTTTGAAAAGACCTCCCTTTTGAGGAATGAAGCTTCTCTAGTTCTTCATCTCTTCTAATTCCCAATTAAAAAATTCTTGCCAGTAAGACCCATAACTTGTTCACCACCACAAATTCAGCAAAGCCAACTGGAGAATGCTCTCCTCCTCACCCCGACCCCATGGAACTTTCTGGACTTCAGATCATAAATCCGTTTTCTGTACTTTCCCAAAGGCGCTGCATATTTTTGAGAGAGAATTGATATTCCATTTATTTTCTAGTGAAAATTTCCTCAAAGGTGACCACAGTTAAATAGCCAACCTGTTGAACGAACTACACAGCAGAGACACAGGGAGGCAGATGGGTTCAACCAGTGCTTTGAATGCTTTGTCAGAGAGGAGATGCAATTTAGTCTCTGAACTGCATGGGTTTGGCCCCATTTTTTGTAGCACCAGCACCCACACTGCCACCGCAGCACGGAGTTAATAGTCCCGGTGTCACGGTCTTCTGAGGAATACTTATGCAAGCTATATTCCTTTTAAATGAGTTTGTATTTCCCAAGGATGTTGACATTACATCTTTTCAAATAACTGAAACCATTTTTTCCTTGATTTAGTGAATCAACTACCTAAGCAGACAACAGGCAATAAACCGCATTTCCGTGGCGCAGGAGTGACCTCCAGTGGCAGCTTAGGCTAACCACAGCTATTCACGCATTTTATACAGTTTTTTTTTAATCCTGAATCCTTTCAGAAACGTGGTTGACGACGTATAGCTGTTGATCTGTGAATCATATTGGAATTTATTTAGTTCATCTCCCAGGGAAATTGAGTCACGGTGGTTATTTTAATTTATTTTTTGCATAGTGCCTTATTGAGTAAAGCCCAAACACAGGCCACAGAACTGGTACTGAGGACCCGAAATAAGTGCCCAACAAGGATGAACAAGCTGCAATGTAATAAGAATAAATAAGAAATACTTTAAAGCATTCACATTCATCTATGTTGGCCACATATGTATTTTTTCATTCAGTGGGTTAATGCTTACCATCAGCAGGATCCTGAAATATGATGTAATTTAGGTTGGAAAAAATAAACTTCAGTATTAATATTGAAAGAATCGGCATCAGCTCTTCACTACTCAGTGGGAATGTCAGACTATCGCAAGAAGGAGGCCTCCCCTTCTGGCTGCAGACTCCCTAGTCTGTCAGTCCTGCCAGTGACCTGAGCTTTGCCCCACTGCTCTCTCCTCGCTTCCTCCCTCCCCAGTGCAGCCGGCTCAACACGGTTCCATTAGGCTCTCTGACAATGATGTTACAATCCAAGAGGTGATGATTCATGGATAATGAAATTAGGCTCTCCTTCTGGGGAAGGAGAATGCAGAGTCAGAATCAGAGTCACATCTCTGTAGGTGCATGATATATCTTTTATTCCCTTCACGTTTCCCGAGAAGAGAACTTAAGCAGTGAATTAGAATTAATTTAAACTGTGAATTAGACTAGCAGAAAAAGCACGCATCAGGCCATGAAGCCTAACAAACACACGATGAGTTCCGCATTTGACACCTGAGAATTGAACCGTGAGGAATGAAAAATTCAGAAACTGCAGCTGCTTGTAGTCCCTTGGCCCTGGATCTGTAGCAAAGCCATTGTGTTCTCTTAGCTAACTGCATTAAAAAACAAAGGCAGCTGGAAGATACTATGAGCATGAAAAGTAATGTCGGTAAATTTGAATTATCAATGTTGTAAGAGAAATAGAATTAATGAAAGCTCAGTAGCTTGTGTTAAGGGACTCTTAAAAATGAATAAAAAAACACATAGGTGAAAATGACAGTTTCTCTAACCTACAATCTACTAGCCTAGAGTATTGGACCCAAATTTTGCTTAATCTCCAAGCTCATGGGTGATACCTACATTCTGGAGTAGAATACAGTAGAAATGCTATGGAGAAATGAACATAACATAGTTCTTTATTTGAGGAAAATAAAGCCATCTGTGGTAGAGTGCAGGCCTTGGGTTCAAGATTTTCTGACACTTGCTAATCAAGTGATCTCAGGCAAATTATTAGTTTTCTCAACTTGAACACTCCTATCTGTAAAAATGGGCATATGTCATTGACTTCACATGGTAACTGGGAGAAGGGAATAAGAGAAGTACTTTGTAAACTACTTATTCTTTTCCAAGAGTGCTTAGTGAGATTTTGAGCTGTGTTTGTCAGTGTTCTATGTTTGGTCTGGGTTATAAAGACATAACTAACCTCTGCATTACACAAGCCCAAATCCACATTACATTAATGGCAGTGAGTCAAGATCTTAATTTGTCTTTGACCTTTAGTTTCCATAAAAACACAGTTTTTTCCATCCCCTGCTATCTAAATCTAGGAGTTTATCAATATGATGACAATGTACAATAAACATAAATATACCAACCCTAGAACACTGAATCGAAAGATTATCAAAATGCATCAAATTTTAACTGTTTCCCAAATCAGGTCATTATAGCAAGGCCCTTGAATCAACATAAGTTACTTAACCATCCTTTTCCAATACCACTATTCTGA